GCGGGAACGCGCCACCAGGCGGCCGACCGCCGGCACGCGGCAAAGCCGGGCGAGCGAGGGGAGAGAGTGACACCGGCGAGCCACAACGGGGGGGGGCTCGCCTCCTCACCTCCCCCGAGGCCCGTCGTCGCGGGCCGACAGAACGGCGCGCCCGGGCGGCACGACCGCACGGCGCCCACGCACCGCGAACCCGACCCCACAACCCCCCCACCGCCTCCTTCCCGCCGGGGGGGGGCGGAAGGAGCGGAGAGGGAACACGGGCAAACCAGGGCATCCGTCTGTCTCTCCACGGGGACCAGACGTCAACGAGCGTGAGCGAGGAGAGGGCAGAGCCCCACCCCTCCCTCCCGGCCAGCGGGCGGCAGCGAGGAGGAGACGGGGAGCCAACGAGGGGGAGCGAGGGCGGCGAGGCGGATCCCGGGTCGCCGCACACCAGAACGACCGGGCAGGCCCGACCGGCCCGAGAGCACACACGAGGGTGGGCGCGGAGCGGGCGCGGGAAGGGAGGGAGGCGCGGACCTCGATCCGGGAGACCGAGGCCACCGACCAGCGAACGCCGGCAGCGACCGGGAAGACCGACACCGGCGGGCCAAGCCGGCCGCCGACGCGACCCAACCGCCACCATCCAGGACGGCGGCGCGGGCACACGGGCGCAAGCAGGCCACCGCGCGGTGACGAGCGGAGAGAGGAAAGAGCACGGAGAGGGCAGGGGAACCCGTGGCCGGGGGGGGGAAGGGCACCGCACCGCACCCAAGCGCGGGGGCACCGCATCACCGACACCCCGCCTGCCGGCCCGGCGGGCACGGGAGCGGCGGCGCGCACACACGGACGGGGAGGAGCGCCAGGCCCCTTTCTCCGCCCGGAGGCGGCGCGCCGACGTCCACGGTCCAGCCGGCCAGCCGGCCGGGTCGCGTGTGGCGCACACCCGAGCGGCCGGAAAGCCAGGGGCGACGCACACGACGCAACGCACGCCACACGGCCACGGGGGGGTCTTTTCTCCAACCTCCCTCAGAAGCCGGCCCGAATTCACTCGCTCGCACGGACGCGGGGGCCGAGCGCACAGCGACCCACGCCGCCGCGGACCGGCGGTGCCGGCAGGGGGTCGGGGGTCCGCGGCGACGACGACCCATCGGCGACAAGTCACCGGCCAACGGCGGCGGCCGGAGGCGGCGGCAGGGACCCCGGGAGGCGGGCGACACCAAACCCAACGCACGCGAGCACGCTCACACGCGGACACCGCCGGCACAGAGCGGACAGGGCCAGGCACGGGAACCGGGGTCGCGCCGGGCACGCGGCGGCGACACGCCGAGAGAGCACAACACCCCGGATCCGGGACAGGGGCGGGGACGAAGCCACACGGCTCGAGACGGAGGAGACGATGCGATGCGGGCAAGCCTACGCACGGCAAAGCGGGAGGGAGGCGCGGGAACCCGGGACAACATCGCGCAGGCACGCGAGGCGGCACCCAGCGGGAGGAGGCACGTCGTGACGCCGGCTTCGGGCCCCTCGGACGGCCAACTCCCGAGCGAGGGACGCACGCGGGAATCTCACCACCATCGCCCCCGTGGCGTACCGGCGGTCCCGCTGGCAGGAACCCTCGTCGTGAGCAAAACCGATCCGGGAAGACCCTTCAAAAGCCACCGCCGCCGCGACGACGTGCCTCCCCCACACCGGGGGAGCAGCCTCACGAGCTGAGCGCCGTCCCCCCCCCCAAGAGAACACCAACACAACGCCCGACTCGACCGTCCGCCGGTGGCCGGCCACCAGGCCAAACCGGCGAGGATCGCGGAAGGCTGATGCGGGTGAGGAGGGCACGCCGGAAGCACAACAAGAAGAGCAGCGGGAGGGTCACCGGGTCGGGTCACCGGGGCGAGAGGCGAGTGAGCGAGCGGCCACCCCCTCACACGGGCGGGTGGCGCAGCCGCAGACCAACGGGGAGGTGGGACCTTTCCGGGCACAGCCGGCACGCCAGGTAAACGAACGCGGGATCTCACCACCCCCAACTCCGGGGCGGTCCCGCGCAACGCCTGGGACACCGAGCCGGCCGACCAGCGGACCGGAAACCCCCACCGCGGCAGCGGCGGGCCCCCCCAAAAGAGGCCCGAGAGGGAAAAGGCAGCTCTCGCACACACCTCAAAGACCCCGTGAACGCCCGCGGAGCCGCCCGCGCCAGCAGGGCCCCACCGCCTCCATCCACACCACACCGCCGGGCACAGCACCCATCATCGACCGCCTCTTTTTCGGCCGCGTGAGCAAGGGCCCACACACACCGGGATCCTCGGCTCCGGGGGGCCAGAACCCCCCCGAGCGGCGCACCACCACGGGCACGGCGGCCCCGGAACACCGCGGGGCCCAGCGCCCGCACGGCGCCGTCGTCGCCAACGGGCGGCGGCCCACACAGACGCTCGGGAACAGCGTCGCCAGGGGCCGGAGGGGGAGGGGGACGGGACCCCCAAAAACCCCACGGCAACCCAAGCACGAGGCCGGGAAGCCACACACCACACGCCCTCGCATCGCGACCCGGCACGGGCTCCAGGCTCCGCCACTCGACACACCGCACGCGAGGCAGGGGCGGGACGGATCGGGAACGTCCTCCACTCACCACACCAGACGACGGCCCGGGAGAGGTCCCGCGGGACCCTCCCCCAGCTCGGAGGGGGGAGGCGCGGGCACGCAGTTTACCGACGCGGGCAGCCACTAGCGCTCAAAAGCAGGGCAGGGAGCGGCAGGGCCGCGGGAGCCCATCGGGGGCGGGCCCCCGCCAACCCAGCAGCGCACGCCGCTTCCCGAACGAGGATCGCTAGAGAACCCCTCCTCACTCTGAGGGTGGCCCGCACCCAACCCCGACGGGAACCCCGCCGGGAACCAGCACACATCAGAGGCGTCCATCCTTCCCACCACGGGGGGCAGGGAGGGGTGGGGCACAGGGGGGGGGTCTGCGGCAGCAGCAACACCAACCCTGGTCGGTCGGCCTTGCCGTGCGGGGCCAGAGCAAAGTCGCGCACACGGGCGGGAAGCCCGCACGGGCCCCGCTCGCCTCCCACTGCAACATCTCAGGTCCCCCGGTGCGATGAAAGCCAGGTGACACGGCAGGGAAGACAAGCCAGGACCAGGGCGGCAGCTCATGCGGGGAAGCCACCGCCCAGCGCAACAAGGGAAGAGCGCTCCTCTGGGGAACCGCCTCGACCCCCCCCCAGCAGAGACGTCAATCTCAACGGTAACTTCTCACTCGCACAAAAGCCCCACGAACCCGAGGACGGCCGGGACACACCACGGGCAGCAGGCTGGCACAAGGCAGCGGACAACGCCAGGATCGGGAACGACACCACCACTCAGCCACAGGCACCTGAGAGAACCAACCGGGAGCGTTCCGGGAGCACCGCAAGAGGGCAGAGCGCGAGGCGCGGTTTTTCACACCACACAGCACGGGCAAGCACGGAGCACCGACCCTCCCTCTCCGCGGAGAGAGCCGACCCCCGTGCCGATAACGAGTCACGGGAAGAGAGGAGCAAGATCAGGGCGCCCCCCTCCTCCAGCGTGTACAAGTCCCCGACCTCACGGCGAGGGCAGGGAGAGCGCAGCCGGGCCCGGTTGCCGCACCCCCGCCTCCCCGCACACCACCGGCGCCGGCACGGTGGGACGGGTGAGGGCAGGGGCCCACGGGCAGAACGAGAAGAGCGGTCCCATTCGCCATGAATGTCCGTCCCTCGCCTGGCGCAGCTTAGGCCCGGGCCCGAAGGAGATCGCAACGTCACCACATCAATCACACCGAGGGGGTGGGAGAAGGCAGCCACGCGGCACTCGGGAGGCGGTGGCCCAGGGAAGCTCGGCTCCTGAGAGGGCCAACAGCCTGGGGATAAAAGCGTAGCCAGGACAGACACCCTTCCGTGAGTAAGGAGCGAGGTAAAAAGAAAAAGAAAAAAAAAAATGAAAAAAATACCACGGGGCTTAAGCGTCCCTGGCACTCGGGATAACCAGGACACCTCTGCCGGGCACAGGACCGAAGAAGCTAGAAAGGGAGGGAAAAAAAAGAAAAAAAAAAAAAAAGAAAAAGAAAAAGAAAAAAAGCCACGGACAGCGCTCGGGAGGTAGCGAGCTCAGCGGCCGACCAGGCCCGCCATCGGGAAGCGGCAGGTCGGGGGAGTTGGAGCTAGGGGCGATAGGAGGAAGGAAAAAAAAAAAAAAAAGCCACGGAGGTCGGGCGAGCCCAACGGCAGAACGGGGATGCCGCACACGCAAGGCAGGACTCGGCGGCCCCCCCCTTTTTCCTCCTTCAGGCCGGCCACGGCGAGGGAAGCACACCGTGCGGGCCCTACCTATGCACACCCCAGGCAACCAACCACTCTCCTCCTCAGCGTGCCGAGGCAAGGGCCAGAATCCGGCACCGGGAGCGGGGGAGAGATCAAGGACGACGGGACTCACTCAGCCGCCAACCACCACCACACCCACGAGCCACCACAGGGACATAGGGCCTGCCCAGGGCAGCGGGAGCCCAGGGTGTGAGGGGAAGGACAGGGGGACCCGGACCGGGAAGAGACGGGAAAGGCCCGGCACACAGCATCCGAGAGAGCCCCCAAAGACCCGCTGACAGCCACCGGGACACAGCATGCCAGCACCCTCCTGCAGGTACAAAATCCTCACGTCACCACGCCAAAACCAGGTCGTCAGGCAGGGGCGACAACTCGCTGGCGACAGGGACCTCTCGGAAACCACATCAGGGACACCTGTCCCCAACACGTCCCCAACAGAGCCAGACACGGAACTCTCAGGGACAGCTGGTCGACCACATAAGGCGAAGACAGACGAAGAGCCAGGGCGGGAGCGGGGTCAAGGGACGCTCCCGCCCCACTACCTCGCAGGCACACACCCCGGGTGTGCACGGGCTCACCGCACGGGCGGTACGGGGAGCCTTCCCCCGGCAGACGCGAGGCACCCACTCCGAGAGGCACCCAACCACCACACCCACACCGCGTGGGGTCGGTGGTGAGCGCCCTGCCGCCAGCACGCACACACCCGGGACTCCCGGGCTCGGGTCCCCGACTCCCGAGGTGCTCCCTCCGCCTCGAGTTTTCCCCTACGCAGGGCCCACCGGGCAAGTCCCCGCAGATGGTAGGTAGGTCCCGGCCCCGAGGCTCGCCTCGGCCGTGCCCGCGGCTCCTCCCGCCGGAGAGGTCTGTCCTCCGGCCTCCGGGGCCGTGGAGGAGGCCGTGGAGGGAGGCCACACGGGGCCGGCGACCCAGGCCCTCGCGCCCGGCACGCGCCAAGCGCTCACTCGGAGGTGACTCCGACGACCATCCTATGTCGGGGATGGGGGGGGCGTAGGTCCCGGCCCCGAGGCTCGCCTCGGCCGTGCCCACGGCTCCTCCCGCCGGAGAGGTCTGTCCTCCGGCCTCCGGGGCCGTGGAGGAGGCCGTGGAGGGAGGCCACACGGGGCCGGCGACCCAGGCCCTCGCGCCCGGCACGCGCCAAGCGCTCACTCGGAGGTGACTCCGGGGAGGGGGGGGGGGTCCGAGTCCGGGCCGGGACCGGCCCCACCACCTATCGGCTCACCCGGGGACCCTCTCCCCCGACTCCCGAGACGTCCCTCGTACTCTCCTTTTTTCGCCCTCAAAGACCAGAGTCCAGGGAGGGGAGGAGGACAAGGCGTCGGGCCCAGACAGAACTACTGGTCGACCCGACAAAGCTGCCACCCCCCGCACAGACCGGGCACCGAAGAGAGAGCGGCGACGCACGGCCCCACCCCGCGCTCGCCTGCGGGCGCAAAGTCCGACAGAACAGCCGCCCCGGCGCCACAGCGACACCACGGCGACAGTCGCGCCCGGCACCCGGCAGAGGCCGGGCCTCCGCCCGGCTCGCTGCCGCCAGACCTCCTCCTCCTCCACTCGCTCGCTCGGCTGAGAACGAGGGGACTGTCATATCAAAGCGGACGCCAGGGGGAGCACGACAACCGCCTTCCAACGACCGACTCCACCGAGCCGCCGTACCCCGGATCGGCGCGCGCCGGCCGGCTCTGAGCTCCGGAGACACAGAACACGGAAACAAATCGCCTCACTCACCACCGCCACGCACCGAGTGGCACAACCTAGGTCAGGACCTGCAGCCGGGTCCTCTCTGCGACCTCACGAACGACACCAGAGCCACCAGAGACCTAGACCGAGATCGGGCCGCCGCCGCCGCCGCCGCCGCCGCCAGCGACCAAAGTGAAACCAGGAACCAGGACGAGATTCGCCCGAACGGAGCGGCCCGAACCCGAGAACCGGGAAGCTGGGATCGGTCCCAAGCAGGAAGGGGCGGCAAAGACGGCAGGCCCGCACCACGAGAGAAAACGAACCGGCCACCCGCACGACCTCCGCCGCCCGTGGCAAGACCCCCACCCCCGCCCAACATGGCCAGAAAAGGGCAAGTGAGCGCTCGTCCCACCGTCTGCCTGCCCGTCTTTTTTTTTTTTTTGGGGGGGGGGGGGTTGGGGGGGGTTGTTTGTACGTTTTGTTTTCTTTTTCCCCCAGATGGAAACCAGAAAGAGAAAAAAAAAAAAAAAAAAAAACTCCCAAAGATGGGTCGGCTCCAGCAAGAGACGAGCCGTCGGGAGGCACCCCGCTCACTTGTGAAAGTCCGCTCCTCGCCCGCCCCACAACACACTCCCTCCCCCCGCCCCCACCCGCCACCCCTCACAGGCAGGGAAAGGGCAGGGGGAAGGCCAGAGAGAGGTTTCTTCTAACACACAGAGAGTAGCTACGTCACGCACACAGGTCTGGAAAACCACGGTGACCGTGCAATGGGAAGCGTGAGTCCACTCACCCATCACCGAATGACAGGAAAGCCAAACGAGAGCCGCTGCTGGCTGGGTGGAGAAGGAAGGGGAGGTGGCACCCGTGTGACGCTTATCCCCGGGCACCGCACCGGACGGAACGACCTTCTCACCGGTTCGTACTCTAGCCTGTCCAGACAGCTAGCCTTTTCTAATAGGCTCTGCCACTCTCTCTCTGGAGCAGGATTCGGGGCATGAGGCGATGAATCTAAACCCTACACACAGGTGTCGGAGGGTAGAGGCATCATCACTCACATGCCTGTGGTGGAGGACCTGGACCCGAGCGTGGCGGTGCACAGTGTGTGTGTGTGTGTGTGTGTGTGTGTGTGTGTGTGTGTGTGTGTGTGTGTGTGTGTGTGTGTGCGGGGCTGGGGGGAGGGCAGGTAGGGAACCCTAGGAGGAAACACAGGGAGAGACGAGGGGCCCCGGCCCAAACAGAGTGGAGGCGTCAGTCAGAGGGGCGATCCTATCGCCCGGGGGTGAAGCATGGTTAGAACCCACAGGCCCGGCGGGCGTACTTCTCTTTGGAGTTCGCACTGGGAACATACGCAGGCACAAGTGCCCCAGCACACACATCGCATCACAGACGGGTAGAGAGGCAGAGCCAGGGGTTCAGGCATGGCAAACACTCTATTCCGTCAACACACACACACACACACACACACACACGTTACGGTGTGTGTACAATATCC